GCCGCGGCCTCTCTGTGGCCTGTCCGAAGCCTGCCTCTTCTCTTCGCGCCCGCAAACGTTCCTGCAGGCCACAGCTTGGCGCAGAAAGCTTTTTCTATGGGCTTCCGAAGGCAACGTTAGACACCCACGGGCCCCGCCCTCAAACCCTCCTCGGCAGCCGGCAGGCCTGCCGCGGCCTCTGTAGCATCGCTTCTGTGCCTCGCACGTCTGGCACACGCGGTAGAAAGTGCATTGGGGGCGCGCGTACATTGTTGCAAAGGCGTCTTCCTGCTTCCATGCCTTGCAACTTTTGCATTGCCAGGGCGTGTTGTTGGCTGCGTAATTACGCACGCATTCTCTGCACACACGTGCGTCCGCGTCCCGTTTCCATTGCCCGGCGCTGTACCCGCTTTTCGGTTTACTTTCGTGGCACTCGCAACACACTTCCTCCTCGCGGTGCCGCGCGCGCAACGTTGCCCAGTCGATGCTCTCTCCGCGCCAGGCCTGCAACAGCAAAGCTCTCCCTACGCTGCGTCCTTTCTGATAGGGTGCAGCATCGAAGGGTCTGTATATGTGTAATCCGTGTCTATCTTTCACTCGCGTCACAGCGATGTATGCGGTCAGAGGGTCTCCGCCTTCGCCGATCTGCATGTCCGTGACCGCCCCTTCTGCGTAAGTTTGGCCCTGCGCCGCGTGCGCAGTCGTGGCAAACCCGGGAGCCAACGGAAATTGCCGTCGCGCCACCCGCAGCATGGGCCGCTTTCGGCCCTTGTCCAGATGCCACGCTTGCCGTTGGAGCGTCACCGGAAACACGTTGTCCGTGGCTAACCCCTGCACTCGCCACTGGGACTTGGTCTGGAACCGGACAAAGACACAAGTTGGGAGCTGATTCCAAATATGTGTCGTACTCCCTGCTTCTGTGCCCGCTGCTTCATGCCAGCTCCATCCAACAACTGTGCCAGGACATCCCTTCAGTATGCCTCTGCGGCGATCCAAGTGATCGGTTGCCGTGACAGGCATGCCGATGCACAAGGGCAAAACCCCGTACAGCCCGCCGCAGTCCTGATCGTGACGTTGCAGCCATGTCAACTTGTCTTTGCCCAAGTCCGGTTTTTCTTGCAACGCTCGGCTGGAAATTGTGTCTTTTGCAATGGCATATTTGACCTCTTGCCGGTGCTGGCGTGCCCAGTCTAGTGCCCGCAGCTTGTTGCCCAGTCTAGTGCCCGCAGCTAGTCGTGGCACTTCCCCCAAAAAAGTTCCGCGCGGTGGTGGCAATTGCCATAAATCCCCTGCCACTAGTACGTTCAACCCTCCGAAGGGCTGCGCGTGCGCGCTGCCCGGGGCGTACTTGCTCTGCGCTAGATCGCGCACTAGCTCTCGGCATCGTAAATCCATTCTTGCCAGCAGCTCAGCGCTTACCATGCTGATTTCATCAATGATCAGCCACCGCCATTGCACGGCCTTCGCACTCAGGTCGAGGAACTTGCTTCCGCTGATCTTGTCGTCGGACGCGCCTTGCCAATTTAGGCCCATCGCGTGATGAATGGTATCGCCGTCCAGTTCCTTGGCCATCACCGCCTGCAGCGTGACGACGTGGTATTGCGAGCCATGCGTCCACCCGGCGATACCTTCAAAGAGCTCGCGACGGATCAATTTCAACGTGTGCGATTTACCCGTGCCGGGACCCCCGTGCACGACCCAGCGCAGTGGCTGCGGACTGGCGCCGTCTTCTGCCAGCAGCTCTGCTCTGACCTGTTGCGCGACGCGCTGACAGAGTTCGGCCTGTTTGCGGTTGCATTTGCCGTCGGCGACCGTGCTGCTCCACCGGTCGATTGCCGCCAGGGTTTCCTGCAACCGGCCGGGCCGTCGCGTCACGCTCGGCTCTAGTTTCGTCTGCGTTGCGTTCCCTGCGGGGGCCTCCGCCGCGCGATGCAAACCTTTCACGATGCCCTTCGTGTCCATTGTCGCATATGGGTTTCCCACTTCTCCCGGCACACTCTTCGATACGCCGCGGCCACCCCAGTGCTGTTCGGCGCGCTGTAACGCGTCCACGAGCAAACGTCGATGTGTGGACCACTTGCTTTCTTTGTGGTTGTCTTCTTCCACTGCCACATGTGTTTGGCAGGCTACGCCTAACAACTCTTCCGTCACAACCAGATCTTCATTGTCGTCCTCGTTGTGCTGCAGACAGGTCAGACCCACAGCGCTGGCAATCGAACGGGAGCCGGTACGGGACTTGCACGTCCACATTTGCTCCGCGTAGACTGGCTAGCATTGCTGGGTGACAGCAATTCAGCCACTCGCTTTGCCATTCTCCAGGAATTCTTCTGCTTGCCATTCTCCAGCCACGCAGATAGACCTGCGGCCGT